TATATATATATATATATATATACTGCTGTTGTTGTTTGTTTTTTTTGCGATGTCCGGACGCGAAGTGGCCCGCAGATCCATCTAGTCAAAATTGCGATTTCAATAAACTAATATGGCTGAGAACATAACATTATTTAAACATTTCGGCATAGTTTTAAACACTATGGTCAGCTACATCAATCTTTTATTATTGGATTTAAATTTTAGCATTATTCTAATTAATTTATTAATAATACCAAAGTACCCTAGCGGAAAAAACATGTACCTAATCTTTCGCTGTCAGTATCCTCCGAGTTGCTATCGAATTCCTCCTCTTCTTCACCTTCTGCAACCGTCGACAAGCCTTCAGAGCCTCGATCCGATCGGCGGCCGATAGAAGATCGACGTTTCATTCCTCCTCCAGGTAACAAGACTTGACCAATGTCCAGATTTCTCTCAAGTGAGACAATCTTTTTATTCAACGATTCCAGCTGGTCACTGATCCTCAGAAGCTGGACCTTCTCTTCACTAGCTTTTGGGTAAGTACAGATCATACATTTAAAGAGATTAGCGAAGCTAAAGGTTATGCTTCCCTCTTCTTCATCTTCGTTTCCTCCCATCCCCAGAAATCCAAACAAATCACTTTTCTTCTTCTTCGATTTCTTCATTTCTTCCATTTCCTTTCTTTCTTCTTCCAGTTGCTTTTTAGACTTTTTAGTTTGGACTTCACGAGTCCCCCAAGAAACGACGTTCAGGTTTACCAGAGAGTACAGAATCAACAACAGGTACATGGACGGTACGCTGATGAAATACAGAAGTCCGGGAACAACACACCAGAACTCTTGAGGATGAATAACTGCAGCTATAAAGAAACTGCTTGAAAGTCCAATTAAGAAAATAGAAGATGGAGAGCCAACGCCATCCTCCGACAACTGGATGGACGTACCCACCAACACAGCCATCATAAGCAAAGCATATGCAGAGCTGAAAATCTGGGCTACAAGAATCTGAAAACAAAAATTTAAAATACAAATAATGAAATTGCTTACTTAATATTTTCACCACAAAACAACTAACTGTACAGAGTATACCATTTACTCTGTGTATGATAATGCAAACTGCATTGCGTGTTGAGTAAGTCCTTTATAGTGTGTATGATAATACAAGGTGTGTTGTTGTTTGATGTTTTACGTGTTGAGTAAATGGTTCACCCTGTGTATAATGACGCAAGTTCTGTTATTGTCTAGTGTTTTAAGTGTTGTGTTTTACCCTGTGTATAATAATGCAAGTTGTTTGTTGTTTAACGTCGTGTTGTTTAATTTTCTAATAGTATTGTCTTCCCATTTTAGCAAAGTCTTCATCAGTGTCATTACTTGCAAGTACGTAGAAATTACATCTGGAGAAATTAATATAAAATCAAAGACTAGGTTTATTCTGATTCGTTTACTTACCTGGATGTTATTATTGGCTACAAAACAGATGAAAATGAAAAAGAGGATTGGTACGATATTGGCGCCAAATGACGTCCAATTGGAGATCTTGAAGGCCGCCACCATGGCGCCTACCAACATCAGGAAGATTGTGCCAGGACCCAGAACAGTTCCAAGCATCAACATGCCCTGATATATTATGTATGGAATAGAGATGTTATCGTTGATGCTAACAGTCCGCTTGTAATCACCCAACAAGTCCATGATGTTCGCCATGGTAGAGGGCGCCCATCGCCGACGCTGGGTGTAGAACTCTCCAAAGCCTTCGGGACAGTGTGTATAGGCGTCAGAAGCAGCGCTGTACTCCACTCTGTAGCCACGTTGGAGAAGTAAAGTACAAAGCCAACGGTCCTCACCTGTCAACAACGTTTATTATTCAGATCGTTTGTTTTTGTTTCTTTATTTAACAATTTTCACACATAGCCGACTATAATTTGCTCATCAACAGCTTCCACTGCCAACTATTGAGCTACTCATCTAGAAGTTTACCATCACTCTTTTTTTTTTCGGCAACGAGACGCTAACCATGAACCCTCGGACTCACAGTCCGGGCACGTTAATTATTAGATCAAGCCTGGCAATTATTATTGAGCCATAATGTTGTTTTGTAATGAACAGTAAATCTTTTTTACAAAAGCTGTCAAACAAAATTAAGTGAAGCATCCCAAGTCAGTAGCGGCCACCCCTTAAAATGTCGAATTAAAACGTACACCGAATATATATATTATAAAGTCCAACTATTTGTCAAAAAAAAATACAAGGGAATGAGATTAACAAATGTCGGAGTTAACCTCATTTTCGCTGTTCATACACAAAAATAATTGTTATGTACTTTCACAAATTAATCATGTTAAAATAAATTAGGGTTATTAAATCTATGAAAATAACAATAACATTTAGTTATCATCCGAAACGTAAAGGTGAAGAAGTAAAGTACTAAACACTATAACGCAACTAGTCGTGCACTCAGTAGTTTTCCGAGACCAATAGCACCAATGAAGATAGTATAAAAACAAGACGACTTCTCATGACTGATTCTCAGTTTATTCGCCAGGCTACGTTTATTCCTGTCATTATAATCAAGTTATTTACGTTGTTTTACTCCGAGAAACTCAAATATCATCACACTGATATTAATTAACACGTGGGGTGCTCGTTACATGACATACTTATTATGCACGTGAAGTGCTCGTTACCTGATGTAGTTATTAAACACGTAATACAACAGAGCTTACCTTGATCGTATTGTACGTAATGTAAGGCATCTTCTGACTTTGTTGTGTATCTTCTCATTACGTTGTCATCCATTAGTGCTTTCGCCCGGAAGAGCGAGAAACATCCGGGGCTACACAACACGCAGCCAATCATGTGCTCAGTAGCTTTCTGCAGCCAATGACCGATGGCATATTCGAATTTCTGATACCACACCATGGGGCCTAACATGACAAAGACAAATACTTTTCAAATTCGAGTGTAGTAATAGTAAAAGTTTAAACTTTTTTTTTTTCAAAATCAAACCTCAAGTTGTAAAAACAAGATAATTTTTTCTCTACAGTTTAACCGTCAAATAAACCCACTTGACTTTATAGGTTCACTTCCGGTCTTGATGGGTATTGCATCATTGTAAGAACTGAACAACGATAGTTTGTTACAACGCCCATTGTAAGAACTGAACAAAGATAGTTTCTTACAACGCTCATTGTAAGAACTGAACAACGATAGTTTGTTATAACGCCCATTGTAAGAACTGAACAAAGATAGTTTGTTACAACGCTCACTGTAAAGAACTGAACAACGATAGTTTCTTACAACGCCCATTGTAAGAACTGAACAAAGATAGTTTGTTACAACGCTCACTGTAAAGAACTGAACAACGATAGTTTCTTACAACGCCCATTGTAAGAACTGAGCAAAGAAAGGGTAAAACCACTAATTTTCTATGTAAAATACATATGGGATTTTAGCTGTAATCGGTTGGATTAATTTTAATATTGATTATATATTTGTGTATATTTTTCTGCATGACCCATATACTACTAGGAATTTAGGAGCCCTGTAACCAACAATTTGGTGAATAAATAGCTTAGATAAATTAATATAAAAAAACCATGTACCCCGTCAGTAATTGTTATTTTTTTATTTCTTGCCAATTTGAATATTTGGATATTTGTTTTGAATTTCGCACAAAGCTACACGAGGGCTATCTGCACAAGCCGTCCCTAATTTAGCGGTGTAAGACTAGAGGGAAAGCAGCTAGTCATCACCACCCACCGCCAACTATTGGGCTACTTTTTTACCAACGAATAGTGGGATTGACCGTTACATTATAACGTCCCCACGGCTGAAAGGACGAGCATGTTTGGTGTGACGGGGATTCGAACCCGCGACCCGCAGATTGCGAGTCGAGCGCCCTAACCAACTGGCCATGATTTCTTGCCAAACACTCTTCTTACACCTCTCACACCGCGAGCGGAAGGAAGGAAAATTATTTAATATCAGAGAACGTCCCGGAAGTGGCGTAACTATGCCGATGTGGGAAATGTAGTGGCACTGAGGCCCTCACCTGAAAGGCACCCAAACAAGGATGTCAATAATAAAAATAAAAACACTAAAAATACATAATCATTTACGCACCTGCGCGACATTTGTTTTTTAAGTTTAAAAAACTGCCAAAAGATGGCGCAAAATATCGGTTGTGGCACTTGTGTGTCTCGAAGTGTTTGTGTATTAAAAGTTGTTATAGCCTTGTATATTTTATATTCATTGAATATAATGCTCATTAAATAAATAAAGTGTAGGTATTTGTATTATTACGTTAAAACTTAAAATATATTAATAAGTAAAGGTTATTTAGAAATGAGAGTGATCTTTCGACGTGTGACGGCCTTAGCCCGCAAGAATTGTTTTAAGCTATACTTTGGTAGGCCATGCAGTGCTAATTTCCTTTAATTATTAATTTTTTTAGATGTTTGGGATTAGAGAAGACTCATCTTCAACATTGGTATATAGTTGGAGAATGGGGTGTGTTGTATGATTTATATGTTTTTATGAAATTATATGTATGTGTCTGTTTCTCTATCAATCACTTAGTTAATGTTTAGTATATATTTATATGTATTGGAGGCCGGTGTTCTCTAATTACACCAATGGCTACCATGATGATGGCCACGGGTTAAGTCGCTTTTGCAATTGTAAAAAAACCCCGCGGTCATTATGTAATCAGATTGCACATAGATCAGTTGAGAAATATCTGATTTTGCATGTTTTATATATAATATTATCATTATTGCTAAGTATTAACTAAAAATAATTGAGGTCAAACTTAGCATTGAGTGATTCAGAGAAACGCGTTGACCTCCAATAACCCCGGAAACTTATAAGTTTATTTCAGAAAATTAAAAAGGAGATAACTGATATTTAAGAAGTGATAATAGTGTAGGAGTAGAATTACTTCGGAACTGCTCCTATCCTGGCTATTTTAAAAATTCTATACTGTGTTCTTCAATCAGTATCATGTGTTTTCTTGGTCATTTTTATCTAAAGCTATGAATGGATATTGTGATCCTACCTGTCCCTACGGGATGAATACGACCACAAGCTGCCCCTAAGTTTCGATTTTTTTTCATCAGATCTACTAGTAGTTGTACAGCGTGAGGCCGGAAATTTATATCGCCATCTAGTGTCAAAATAAAGGTACTTTCTGCAATGACTTCTTTCCGGTTTACATCAATGGGAAGCTCCATCAGTCTGTGTCCCAGCAAGTAATACATATACATTACCTACCAGAAAAACAAAAGTAGGTAAATATACGTTATTGAAATTCTACATTAGAAAAGTACTAATATATTAATCAAAATTATTTGATTCATAACACCATTATCATATGGTAGATACGTAAGCAAACAAGAAGTAAAGTGTATGTGTTTTTTAAATAGACTATAAAAAACTATAACGGAAATATACGAACAACTGTGTGCACATAACCTATTAAAAAAATCACACCTTCTTAGCCCAGCTACTACCACACGACGTTTCTACAACGTTACTGAATAGTTGTGAGTTAATAAAATTGACAACGTCATGCATTATATGTTGTGACAACTTTGTGGCACTGTTAGACGTTAATGGTGAATATATATATATTAATGGATCTTATTAATGCACAACTATTCATTAACGTTGTAGAAACGTCATGTGTTAGCTGGGCTATTTGCAAATAGTCAATAATATTGTAGGTCCATTTTATTGTTGTTTTTTCTACGCGTCGTTATAACACATTTTCATCTCGTCATTTAATTTCTGTTGTGCATATATTGTTGTATAGAAGATATTTTAAAGTGATTCATCAGGTGGAAAACGAATAGATAGATAGATAAACCAATATATGGCGCCATCTAGTGTACCTAAATTCATCTAGAAATTTTCATAAAAGTGACCCAAAAAACGGGGATAACTCGGTAACCCGTGGCCCGATTTTAACGAAACTTATTTTATTCTGTTTCTATTCTCAGTTCTATTCTCATTTCATTACAAATAAGGCGATATTTTCGCCGTTTTTGTTGTATTTAATCACAGACAAGCACACACACAAACAATCTCAGAGTTTTAGTAGTATATAGATAATAGTATTCCAGCCACACCGTATTTGTCATATCCATCTTCTAACTCTTTAAAATCCTTAAGGGACTAGATTAAGAAAGTAGTGTTTAAAAATGTACTAGGCCTAAAACTAATGTCTTGTGATAGTTATGTTAGTAATCATCCTTCACAGGCTTGTAAAATATATGCACACCATAACAACTGATGTTGTATGAAATAGCTTATGTAAATATTGTCCAGAAGACTTCTGCCTTTCTCGTGTCCCAGCCGGCCTGCAGCGTTCTGGATTGATCGAATCACGTCATCGGCAATGGATATGCTAAATATAGTGTGGTTGTAATACTGTTATTATACAATCTTCTAATTCTTGAATATTTCTAAGGGACTAGATTAGGAATGTAGTGTTTGAAAATGTAATAGGCCTACTACTAAATTATTGTAACAAGAACAATTATAAAGTCAACCTAACCCTAACCAACTAATGAACTATATATAATATCCAACTTGACATTTCTTGTAATATATCAAAAGTGCTCGACAATTGTGTTTCCACACAGATAAAGATTGCTGTTTTCTATTTGTTTGTATAATTGATCTCACCTGACTCCACCTCTTCCTATGTCTGATTTTAATTTTGTCCTTGAGGTGGGCGATGAGTTTGTTCTTGCCAGGCATCGTCCAAACAAGTCGGCCGCCATAGGGTGTTGGAAGTTTTTTAGGAGGCTTGAGCCGGATGTTTGTCTGATGAACGTTACTGTTATAAAGTTATGAAAAAATGTAAAATACCACTGTTTAGAAAGAGTAAAGGATTTAAAACATTACTATATAAGAAAGATTAAGAAAACTTAAAAAATGGTTCTTGTAAAGCAAATTACTACAACTATTATCCAAGTAAAACAACCGTCTGATCAAAACTCTGACTGTAACTACAGGTTAACAGTTTCTATATTTCATTTCAGTTAGATTCTTGATTCCAAAATGTGTTAACCAGATTTCTTTAACTACTGTTAAAGCAGAATTTTGGGTCGCCCAATTTAGGTTTTACTTGTTAATATCCAACATTTCTTTGGTCCTGTATATATAAATATAAACCCAACTCATCGTGCAAACGAATTATTCAAATTAGTTTCGTCTTGTGGGAGTTAAAACACTTACAGGATGAATGACAACTTTCAAAGGCTTTAATTATTATAGAAATTAGAAATGTTTGTAAAACATACGAACCTCCTTTTAGATGTCAGTACGTCTGTAACTCTATTTTAGTCATTTTGAAGTAATTGGTACCTTCTTCCCTGTTTTCCTTAATAATACTTTATATTACAGCATGATGATAAATTATTAAAATATTGGAACAAATTAATAATAAAATGTTCTAGCTGTAGGAATACGAACCTTACAAAACATTATCCTCCCAATTCATTAACTTACTGGGGTATTTGCATTCCTTCAGACGTCTGCCAGGTTTTACTGAAACCCATCTACTAGAGTATTAGAACCATTATTTCACAAGTATGCAAGGTGTTAATGGAATCTTGCTTGCTGGGATATAAGAACATACTTGAGAAGTCTGATATGTTTTTAGTGAAATATTGCTGCTAGGGTATTAAAAATATTACCTCAGAATTATGTCAGATTTGAATGGGATCTTAATTGCTGGGAAATTAGAGGCATTGTTTACTGGGTTATTAGAAACATTGTTTCATAAATATTCCAGATATTATTGTGATCTTGCTTTCTGGAGCATTGCAAACATTACTACAGACGTCTGTCATGTATGAATGGAATCTTTCTATTGGGATATTAAAACATTACTTCAAAAGTATGCCTTTTTTTAATGTAATCCTGTTACTGGGTTATTACTTCATTACTTCAGTATTATGTCAGATTTTAATGGGATTTTCCTTGCAGGGGTATTAGTAAAAGTACTTCATAAGTCTGCCTTATTTTAATGGGATTTTGTTTGATATGATATATGAAACATTACTTCAGAGGTATGTCAGATTTTAAGTGGACATTGTTTGCTGGGATATTAATAATATTTCTTCAGGTGTACACAGGATTTTAATTGAAACTTTCTGTTGGGTATTAAAAACATAACTTCAGATGTCTGCCATGTTTTAATAGGATCTGTATGCTTTCTCATTATGAGTTTCTTCCTGAGAATCAAACCATTACTTTTAGCGGCTCACAAAAATGGCTCTGAGTTTGTTGTTTTTTTTCAAATACAAACTTTTAGCTCATAGCTCCACCCCCACCCGTGGCACAGCGGTATGTCTGCGGACTTACAACGCTAGAAACCGAGTTTCGATTTCCGTGGTGGGCAGAGCACAGATATCCCATTGTGTAGCTTTGTGCTGAATTTCAAACAAACAAACAAACAAACTCATAGCTCCATCTCTTGACCGATTTGAGATCTAATTAAGGGCGCGGCTATTGAGAATTCCCTCTTGTTTCCTAAACAAAGCAGTTTTATGATATTCGTATTTTAAAAATACATTAATTGTGTTTATTGTTAGTTTTCTTTCTTTTGACAAATCATGTTTGTGTGTGTGTTTTGTAACATAAACACATGAAAAGTTTTATATCAAGTAATTATAAGCATAAAAGTCTCATATCGTGTTTATCAATAGATTAATCAAACAACAACTATTTATTGATATAATTTTAGGTTTAGAAATGTATCAAGTTTAGATGAGTTTGGACAAAATTTAAAACAATCTATATATACTTTAACATATTCGTTTTTGTCAGTCACATTTTGATTATTTCTTATAAATTCGTTGTAAATTAATACATCCATTGTAGTAGGTTTTAGTATGCTTCCGTACGAAGCAATATGTGAAATTTACAACACACACTTGTAGTTGATAAATATTCTTGTAGATGGCGCTAAAGCCATTCTGAAACACTAATTATTAGATAATATATATTTAAGTTTGACAGGGATTGGTTACGTATGTTAGTTTTACATGTTAAAAACATGTAAGTTGTGTAACAGTTTACTTTTATAATTATTATTAATCCACCTAAAAAAGATTGCGTAATAGTTAAACTAACTTCGACATTTAAAACTAAATAAGTGGTTCAACCTAATATTACTTAGCTTTCGTTGGCGAAATTTTTTCTATGTTTTTCTTTTAGCTCTGTTTTCATACCTTGTATAAAATCCAGATTTTGATGGTTATTTTCAGTATATATAAATATAACAATTAGATTTACAATAAAAAAGGCTTTAGAAACAAAATCAGTATATTTAGATAGCCGCTGAATTAATTTACTTATGAAGAATGTTTGAAAAATATTAAAGGACATATCATACGAAGATTAATATCATATAGAATGCTACTTGTTTAAACCACATATTACTTCATAAATGTGTTGATATACACACCGTGCGTGAATTAGAAGGTTATTTCCGGGATACTACCTGCTAGATATCCTTGATGCAAAAGAAAACAATCCTTGCTTGGCGGTGATCTAATTAATTCTAGAACTTTTACCGCGGGTGTAATTCTTAATGAATGTTACTCGCTAGTCGCCAAACAGTAACCCATAAAGAAATAATTAATTACAAGTTGAATAAAGCACTTTCGAGAGGTGCCGGGCGTGGCCTCTTGGTTAGCATGTGAATCCGAAGGCTCATGGATCGCGTTCCTTTGCCGTGAAATCGCGGTCCGCATTTTGGGACCATGGGTGCGTTATAAGAGTGAGAGTCAAATCCCACTATTCGATTAGAGTAGCCCAACAGTTGGCGGTGTTTACTGTTGACTAATCTATCAGTCAAATATTGGGTAAGGTTAGGGGTAGCCTTGTGTAGCTTTCCGCGAATATCCAAAAACAAACAAACAAAGCGAGATTCTCGAGAATTTGCCAGAGGTCACTAGATTTGGAATTTATGTAATAAAAAAAGTGTAATTTAGTGTGTTGATTCAATGTTTTCAAAAGCTGAAATTCTAACAAGGATAATACAATAATAGCTTTCCGTTTATAGAGATTATAAATACAAGATCAATTCTAATAATTTATTTTAAAGAATTCAAATATAATGATAGGCCTAAACCTCTCCCTCAACAGTTTGTTTCTGTTTATTTCATTTGGGCCTGGCATGGCCACATGGTTTGCAATTTGTGGGTCCCGTCACACTAAACATGCTCGCCCTTTCAGTCGTTGTAACGTTATAATGTGATGGTTAATCCCACTATTCGTTGGTAAAGGAGTAGCCCAATGAGATGGCGGTAGATGGTGTTGACTACTTCCAAAAAAAAAAACGTTGTTGGTGAACGTCTAAGAATCAATTAAGTTTCAAAACCAAATGATAATTTGGTGAAATCTGTCCGGAGATTTAAACAATCGTATTGCAAGGAGTTTGAAATTAAGGGTTGAAGTCGCCTTTTAAGTTCACGCCTAAGACTAATTATATTTTTGCATCTGAAAAATATATTTCCAAACAAACAATTTTATTCCAGGATAATCAAAAGTTATACGCTTTCTTTCTTCACGGGTAAATTAGGAATAAGCACAAAGAACTCCATATTCTTAGTTTTATAGGCCCAGTATGGCCAGATGGTTTGGGCGCTCGACTCGCAGTCTGAGGTTCGCGGGTTTGAAGCCCCGTCCCACCAAACATGCTCGCCCTTTCAGCCGTGGGAGCGTTATAATGTACCGTCAATCCCACTATTCGTTGGTAAAAGAGTAGCCCAAGTGTTGGCGGTGGGTGGTGATAACTAGCTGCCTTCCCTCTAGTCATTCACTGCTAAATTAGGGACGGATAGCGCAAATAGCCCTCTTGTATAGTGGGATAGACCGTCACATTATAACGCTGCAGTATAAGACTGACAGTAAATCCCTTTGCGTCGACTGTGGGTGGGTAGGGTGCTGCTGACTGGTGGCCTTTCCTCTGGTCAGTATTTCAGAATTAGGAACGAATAGCTCAAATAACTCTGAAGTAGCTCTGCGCGAGAAATAAACAATCGTTGAATGTATTTTTAAATCTGCGCAACGTATATCTTTAAAAAATGAAATACTGACGGTCGTAATTTACTTAAGTTTAAATTTCTCCTTGAAATCACAAAAGAAAAGTTATGTAATGCCTTTTTTTTATTTTAGTTTTTTTTTACTGTTCAAATAAATGAAAGCATTCGTTAGGTTTACCTTCTGTCCTACAATTTGTAGCTTTAATTTGAATGATACAGACACAGGTGGCCGGAAGTCTTGATGTTGTAATTACACTAACTTGTCCCATTTCTTCGATACCTAGAGTAGGCGGGACGGTGCAAAACTAGGTCAGGTATAACTACTTTTTTTGTGTGTGATCAGTTAGTATTTCTGTAGCAGAGATTTCGAGCACGTTTCAGCAATATTCGCTTTGGAATGTGACCTTCATACTCGCATGGCCTTAAATCGCACTGTCACTGACTTGTTTTGTAAACACTCGAACACGAGTTTCATGTTTTAGAGCTTTATTCGCCCTTGTTTTGTTTGTTTTGAATTTCGCGCAAAGCTACACGCGCTAGCCGTCCCTGATTTAGCAATGAAAGACTAGAGAGAAGGCAGTTAGTCATCAACATCCACCGCCAACTCTTGGGCTACTCTTTTACCAACGAATAGTGGGATTGACCGTCACATTATAACGCCCCCGCAGCTGAAAGGGTTTGTTTGTTTGGAATCAAGCACAA